TATCCTACACTACGGACGCCCTAGTGTATGCACAGTCCTTGTGATGCCAGAAATGCCTACCCCTCTTTCCAGCACAAGGCATACATAAGCGGGGGGTAAATTTACCCCCCAGATTTGCAATAACCATACACCGGCTACTTCCTCAAGACACTCTATTCCATATACCTTTTACCCGTGCTTCTCCTACACTACGGACGCCCTAGTGTATGTACAGTCCGTATGATGTCAGAAATGCTTACCCCTCTTTCCGACTCAAGGCATACAAAAGCGGAGGGTAAATTTACCCCCCAGATTTGCCGATCACGCATCTTCGTGCCTGCCAACGAGTGCACCCGGGTTGTTCCAATGTACCCTTCCCAGTCAGCGATGTCACATTTACATTCTTTAGCGCAAAGTATTTACATAGCAACCTTCCTCCCAAAACATGTAATCCCTACATGCTTTGCCGACTATGTAACTAGTACATCCGGTGCGATTCGGCTAGCTTTCGACCTCTCCCCCTGGCCTCAAGTTACATTTTGCTACGCGGGACTGTTGCCCTTGTTTTTTTTCGAAAATTTTTGTTAGTCCTGTTAGGTTGCTCGCCCAAAAATGGCTGGGCTGGGCCCCAGCCTGCTTCACGCCGCCGGTGTTGAAAGAAACTGCAATGTGTAAAGGAACTGCTCTGTGCGCAGGAGGCCTGGACGGCCTGGACGGGCGGGCCAGCTGTGGAGGACCGAGACTAAGGCGTCGATCAGGTCTTTCCTGTGTGGGGGTGAGCCTGAATTTGTTTTGACACCTAAACGGTGTGTCACAGAATGCCACGAAGAGGAAGGCAGAGAAGTGGAACGCGGTCATATGTCTGGAGTCGCAACTGCAGGGTGATTTCTGCAGTGCCTGGGGCGTTTTGAGGTGCAAAACGACGTAGGGTCAAGTGTCATGGCTTTCCATCGGGCATGCAACATATGCAACGACCATTTTGTTTTTTTGCAGGTCGCGACCGAGCCGTGAGCGAAATGCATGACCTTCTGATTTGCATTTCGGGTGATCTAAGGAGACTGAAACCCAAGAACCTACAGCAAGAAAAAAGATTGCAAAGAACCCTTTTTGTGTAGTTTTGCTTTCGCACGAGGATGCACATGCATGACCATTTCATGTGACGCGCACATGAAGTACATCATGACGTAGTTGACACTGTGCGATGCTTTCAGCTTATGCTTTAAAGAGCTTCACGCTTCACAGAACCGCAGTGTGAACATCGCACTGTTTACTTGTTTGCGCCGGAAAAGAGTAGCTCTTCACCGCTCTTCAGACTATTGAAGATAAGGGTGTGTTTTTCCTTCTGCCCTAGCAGCGTAGCGGGGGCAGCGCAGGAAGTTAGTGGGTTTGATATTTTCTTTTACCTCAGGGTGTTTGCACCAAGGAGCGCAATAACTCTGTGTGAAATTCCAGGCAAAACAAGCCTCCAGTTTGGGCAGATGCCGTGGCGCAGTTAGACGAGACATGATGATTCGAGAAAATATGCTTTTCGGCTCCATAGAGATTTTGTGGTGGACACCTGTCTATGTTTTGTTTCGGCTGCATGCACTCACAGACATGACTATTTTTTTTGTTGGGGGGGTTGTTGCATTTGTTCGCAGGCGTTTCGGGTCAGCGCCACAGCTCCTTTTTGGACGTTTGCCGGACGGAACCAGTCAGCCTAGCAACCTGACCAGTCAGGCCAGTTTGGACTTTGGACCCAGGCTATTTCAGCACTGAAACACCATCCACCTCCACCTCCGGTAAGTCAACCCCCGCGCTTTCGACGCCTCGTTGGCTCAAACGACGAGCTCGCGCTCTGTGGCGTGGGCGTCACATCACAGGGCCCGGTGGCTTTAGATGCTGGGCTGACTGGCGAGAGGGAGTTGGGATGAGGTGCCGGATTCGCAGAGAGGTTGACCTAGCTTTCGAAAGCTTGGATTGGGGAACACCATGATTGCTTCGGATTGCCACGAAAGCAGGCTGGGAGGTGTAATGATGTAATGGAGCCTCCATTCCCCTTGGAAAGCCTCGTGCTTCCCCCGCTGCAGAAACACTAAGGCTTACTTCCAAGGAGGCATGACTCCTAGTCCTTACATGTCCTTACTATTATTGGGGGACAGCCCCCGAGGGTTGGTGGTTCCTCGCCCGCCTCCTGGCAGAATGGCTCGTCTAGCACCTCAAGACAGGGAGATACAGGTAGCCTGGTGCTGGAACCAAAGGAAGAACGGAAGAACTGCACCCTCCTGGCCTCGACTGTCCAAGCTCCCCCCCCGGCGTCTGAGCTCAGACTCCTCAGGATGCCAAAGAAGGGTGATAAGTCTGGTGCTAATCCTGGTGCCTTGGCGTGAGCCGATGGAAGGGGGAAAGCCAATGAAAGCCACCTGAGAGAGATCCTGAGTCACTGTTGCGGGGTGGAGAGGGCTGACGCGGGAGGCAGTTTTAATGATGTATAATGCCTAGCCCTTCCAATGGGTGCCCCATTGGAGACCTATAAGTAGGGTAGGGTAGTCTAGCCAGGACGCCCAGACAGGATCATCATGGCATGTTTTGATCAGGAGCTCCTTCACCAAAAGATTCACACTTGTGATGCCACAGCAGCACCAACCCAGACGACCTCCTTGCACGAGGCTATGAAGAGCGGCTGCGGAAAGCCCCCGGGCTGCCCGAGGTGCTGGTCATTCTCAAGGAGGCTGCGGCAAGCAAGAGTCCGGGAGCCCCAGGATTTCGGCGAAGCAGGCCCTGACCAGTGCAGAGTTGGCGTGTACGGCCAGGCCAACCTAAGAACGATGGCCTCCACCGTATCGATGTCCTCCGGAATCAGGGATGTGATGACACTCAGCTTTGTAAGGAAGGTGTGAACGACCGGGTGTGGGTTTGGTAGTCCAGTTGCTCCAGCATGAGACAGAAGCCGAACAAAACCGTGAGGATGGCGTGCAGTGCACCGAGGCGAACCATCCCGTAGCTTTTTCTTTCAAGCGCTGAGCGTGTTAGCCCAGAAGGCGGGTCGTTTGCCGACATAGGGAGGAATTGCTGAGGGTTGTGTGCATGGATGATACCGCAGGAACTAGAAGGACAATGGTCAAAATACATGTGACATCTGACATGTGACATCTGACATGTGCGCGTATGTTTCTGTTCTAGGTTCACATATTGGTACCTTCACACCGCTTTTTTAAACCACAAATCCCGGATAGACTTGGCACAGTCCGTGCTCCAAGCTTCAGCCCGCCCGGGAGAGACTGAATGACCACCCCAGCTACAGAGGCTGCTGCCACAAGTGCCGTCAGCGCTGACTGCAAAGTGGCAGCTGTTCAACAAGGAGAATGGCTCTTGGAGTCCGGGCCCTCAGATGACTGGAGTCCTTTCACCCGGTCTACGAAGGTGAACCGGTCTACGAAGGTGACGTGGGCATACGTGGCGGAGCCACAGTCCAGAAAGGAGATCTTCGATGTTTCCCTTGGAGTTGTTTCTTGGGCAATGCATGTTTTCTATATAGTTCTATCATCCAGGAGTCACAAAGGGGCGCTTAATGGAGGTTAGGGGTGCCCATTATCCACTCACTTAGGGACCAAACACCACCCCTTTGTGACTCCTGGATGTTATATAATTAAGCTATGAAGTTGTTGATGCCGTGCCTTCATCCCCGCATGAACCACTGAGACCGCCCGCTTCAGGTCATGCTCGAGGCTGGACGGCGGCAAGCCACAGGCGGGACCGCGACGCGCGGGCGATTCGGTGGCGTTCGGTGTTGAATCATCCAACACACGATGACGTGAATGGACAACGGGTTTCCTCAAGAAATCCGTGGTGAAAACATTGCTGATTCAAATTCATCCTCGACTTAAAGTGCGAGTTTGATGATTCTTCAAGCGAATCTTTGAGAAGAAGGAAGCGATACCCCTCAAGAAACCCTGAACCTCACCACCTCACCACCTCACCACCTCACCACCTCACCTGAAGAACACCTCCCATCCCCATCCATCAAGGTCACCTCCTTCCCCCCATTCTCTCTTGGTCAGTCCAGGAACGTCCTCCCTCCCCCCTCGTCTCCTCAGCCCTCCAGGAAAGCGCGATCACCTCCATGGTGCGCGTGTGCTGCGCCTGCGGCGCGCAAGACCGAGCCCTCAAGCTCGTCGCTGAGGCGCAGGCGGCCCGGCAGTTCGCGGAGCGGGGAGCGGGGCGGAGGGTTTTGGTTCCCGTGGGCCGGGTGGAATGGACACGGAAAGGTGGGGATGCGGTGTGGGAGGAGGAATGAGGCCTTGAGAGTGGAGAAAGCTCCACGGTGCCGTTTGAACCCTTTCCCAGTGCAGATCAGGGCTCTGAGGTCGGGGTGGGGCCACCCGGTAGCCCTCATGGGAGAAGTCCATGTGGCCATGGGGTAGCAGAATGTCTTCCAACTTTGGACGCTTTCTATACAGAATCTGTTCCTTGATCCGAATCCAATCCAAATGTTCATTCCCATTCAGAATCCAAACCCATCCTTGGAATTCTTCCAACACTATACCCGTTTGGGGGCACAACTGTTAATCGAGTCCTTCCAGGCGAAGGGCGTCAAGCCGCGCTTGCGCACGCTCTCAGCCGTCCTGCTGCAGGCAGGGTTCCCGGGTTCCACTTCACTTGGGTTCGGTGGATGCGAGCAGGAACCTCACCTCATTTGCAGAGTAGAGAGGCCTTCAAGAACGTGGGGTGAGCTGCTTGGACCTCATTGGATCTATTTTACGTAAGGGATGCCTTAAGGCCTTCACGATCCCGCTTTTCCACTCTTCAGGTGTATATTGCTCAACACCTGAAGAGGGATCGATGAACGCGCGGATAGGTGGACGACTCGGTTCCGTCTCCTATTTCCGAGCTGGACGACTCAGACAGCCGTATATATGACTCAGACCATAACTATACTCGTGGCACCTGGGCGGCGCAAAGTTGAGTCAAACAAAAGCTGTTGCAGCGAAGTTGAGCGAAGATGAGTGATGCAAAATTGGGAGCCCAACAGCATTCGCACCCAGCTGCCCCTCTGAAAACCCCACATGAACAAATCGATCAGTTCGGTTCATGATGGAGAGAAACAACAGATATGGGCTCTGAGTCAAGACGTTCAAGACGTTCAAGGCGATTTGAGGTTGACCTCCTCTCATTTCCAGGGATCCGAGCCAGGCCTCCGAGGCCCAAGACCACGGTCTCTGCGAGAAGCTCTGGGCGCAGCTGCCGTCTCTGGGGCTGGAACCGCAGGACTCCGAGTGGCTGGGAGGAACTCTCGCCGCGCCGCGCTTCCGGGGTGGCCGGTGACGGGGAGGGGAGGAGGGGGGAGGGAATGGGTGGAATGAGGTGGAAGGCGTGGCGTGGGGTATGGGAGTCACATTGCACCATGCCAAGCACCGTGATGCACCCTGCGCGCCAGCACCACGCCGGATGTGTCTGTGGGCCCAGGTTCGCCCTCATGCTGCGGACCTTCCATGGTGACGTCCAGCGTCACTCGGAGGCTTTGGGAGATGCTTTGGGGTCGGAGCTGGTTCAGACTCAGAAGCGGCACAGGTCGACCCTGGAGGGGCTTCCGTTGGTTCGTTCCATTCCATTCCATTCCATCCGACCTCAGCCGGGCCGCAGGCGTTCTGACACCGAGCCGAGGTCTCGGGGCGTTTCGATGGACTGGTTCGGTCCCCCAAAAGTGACCCAACGACCGGTGGCGCGCCGAGCGCGCCCGCATGAGCCCGTCAGCATGCCGAGGGCAGTATGCGCTCCTGCGGCAACTCATCGAGGAGCTTCCGATGCCGTCGGACCCGCCCTTGATCGAAGAAATCGGCCGGGTCTTTGGTGTAGAAGGCGAGGTGGACGGCTGTCGGACGTATGTTGGGCGGATGGGGCGGCTGCATGGGCCGTGCTCGGCTAACAAAAAGTAAGAGCTCGGTATAAGCAAGAAGCAAGAAGCATGCGGCATCCACCCTTGGGTTTTGAATGGTTTTGATGTGGAGCACGGGGATGCTGCATGGGGGCACATAGAGCTGCACCAAGACGAGATTGTCGTAGCGATTTTGCAAGGATGGTAGTGGAGGGGTGGTGTCGGAAGGAAAAAGGGGAGATATGATTTTGAATGCATGTCTCCAAGGCCTTTACTTTTACACCCGGGAAGAGGCCCACATGTTCCACTGGGCTTGGCTTTGAAAGACGCGGGATCTTTTTCCGAAATACCAACCCTGCCGGTGGTTTTTTCGGGTTCCATGTGGGTCTCGGCACCAGGGTGTCGTCTTTTTCCGCGCCGCGGAAGACCGCGGCTGTGGGGTCTTCCCCCAGGTGCGCTGGCCCTCCGCGCCAGGGATCCGCCCAAGGCGCCCGGCCGCAGAGAAAGCGGCGGCTGTTGCTTGGCAGCCCTTCACCTTCTCTTGGGGAACACCATGACTTCAAGAGTCAAGAGCAAAGTTGGCACATGTCGGCACATGAATTATATAATATGGCGCGACTAGATGGCGCCATGAAATCTTTCGGATCCCTCACCTCTTACCATAGTTATCCATCCGTCCCTTTTTTAAGGCCTCCAAGTGACTCCCACCTCGACCCAGCTCGCTCTGTGCTTCCTCCACGCGCCGCGCGACGCACGCGCACGAGGTTGGCAGGTGGGTTGGACCACGCTGAGCCCCGAGGGCGACTGCGCCCTGAGCGGCCGACGGCTGCAGGCGATGGACGTCACGCCGGAGGACGCGGTGCGGAGGTCGGTTCTCTCGGTGAGGGGCCGAAGCGATGAGGAACGGCAGCGGCTGCGGAACGGCGATATATAGACCCCCAAATACCAGGACCCTCCAAGGGGTGGTTTTTGGACACCTCCTAACCTCTAAAAGGCTATTTACAGACACCTCTTGGAGGGTCATGGTAGATAGACAAGTAGATCCTCACCAAAAATGTATTGGACACCGTTTCGATTATATATATTATATGTTTCTATCTATTTGGGGGTCACTGCTCTTGAGATGCTTTTTGGACGTCTTTGCTTGGTCAGGCTCCAGTTCGAATCGCGGATGGTTCTTGACACCTCGGGATTTTCATCATGATCAGATTGGCACACTGACTGCTGGTATGCACTATATTTTCATAGTATTACTGTATATACTTCGCCGAAGGTCATGATGTTGACCATTCCGGAAGAGACGAGCCGCATGTAGCGTTTCTCCGCCGCATGTCAGCCTCGAGCCAACGGATGACATGAGAAAGGACATCGAAGAATCAAAGGACCCAAAGCCATTGCCCTAGAAGGCAAAGACTATTTTAACCATGATCTTTAAGCTTTCCTTTTCTTGGGTGGTGCCAACAAAATAGTCGATCCTCGACAGAATCGACCTCTGCAGCGCCTGATTCAACGCGAAAAAGCGCACGAATCTGCGACTGAGCTACCGCCATCTAGCTTAGTTGCTGAGCGACCGAGGTTGTCCTAAACCAAATCCAACAGCCTAGCCCAGCTCCCATCTGTCTTTAGCAAGGGGGTGTTGGGACATCGTTATGTCATCGCCATATAGCAGTTTTTCTCTTCAAGCAGGAAGCCACCCTCTCCACCCAAATCTCCAAGTCCAAACATCTGCGACCGTCTCCCCAGATGTGGTGCAGTGACAGTCCCTGAACATCCCTGAGCCAGATTCCATGAGTGCACGCCGCAATGTGCTCACCTCCCAGATGCTCCCGAACCCGGCGCCCACCGCAGCTGCGCCGGTCTCCACGGTGTCCACGGTCGGTGCCTCGGGGTCGGCGGGGGAGCTGCTGCGGGCGCGCCGGTGCGTGGCGGCCATCGACATGGACTGCTTCTACGCACAATGCGAGGAGCTGAGGCATCCGGAGCTGAAGGGAAGGCGGGGAGAGGGGTGGGGGGAGCGCGGAAGAGGGCGGAGCCGGCTCGACTTCGCAGGGGGCAGGAGCGGGATGAGGACATGAGGACATGAGGACTGTGGATATAGTAGATTGAGGTGATTGCCCCAGCACATCTGTGATGAGACTTGAAGGTTTTCAAACTCTTGCTAGTGATCCCTTGGACGTGTCCCCATCTATACGGGCTCCTTTCACCTTAAGTGTTGTTGGGCCAAATTCCACCGGTCACCTTTGTGGCAGTCGCTCTTGTTTTTTCGAGGCCGGTGGGCGTGCAGCAGAAAGCGTTAGTGATCACCTCCAACTACACGGCGCGTGCCTGTGGTGTGCAGAAGGGCGACTCGCTTCAGGTGGTCAAGGAGAAATGTCCCGAGATTACGATTTGCAATGGAGAAGATCTCACCTTCTATGGCCAGGTGGGGCGTGCCGGGCACGGGAGTCATCATTACTATTATTATTGTTATTATTATGGTTATTATATATATATATATATAGAGAGAGAGGTCTGCAACTCAAGCATCCGACCGTTCACACAGCCAGCACGTTGACACGGTACATAGAATTTGGTCGTTGTTCACCGGGCAGCACTTCAGGTGTCCCAGCAATTTTTTGATGTGGCGGCGCGCTTCAGCAGCAAGGCGGCTTCTTTTTTGGGTGCTGATTGCAAGCGCTCAATCTAAATAGGAGATATATAATAGGAGCTGTTTGGACTGCCATGTTTGAGGCCAGAGAGCGTTTTTCGTATCCAGCCGTGTTATCTCAATTGGTCCGGCAACGGTCCAGCTTGAAGGTGGAGAAGCTTGGCTTGGATGAGGTCTTTGTCGACCTCACCGAGCAGGTGGGCGAAGAAACCAACCCAGCCGAGTGAAGAAACCCGTCATTTGTGCTGGGATGTTTTTAATGTTTGAGGTTTTGCGTTATTGAATGTTTGGATGCTTCTCCCTCGCAATCAGATTTGTATGGCTCGGTTTGCTTCTTTGACAGCTGCTACCCACCAGGTGGAGGAGCGCTCCTCCGCCAGAGACGACGGCGGCGCGAAGATGAGCGGGCTGGTCTACCCGGACGCCGAAGCCGCGGGCACGGATTGCGAGGATGGCGGGGATGCAGGCGAGGGGTGAGCATGGGGGAGCAGGGAAGGGTCAAAACCGCAGCAAGCAGGCATTCCAGGTGCGCCCCAGCTCAGCACGCAGATGGGCATGTCAATACATCCGACATCATCCGATTCAAACCATCGACTGGGGGGAGGCTGGGCAGGTTCCGAGAGACTTCCTTGTGCAGCAGGCGATCTCGAAGGCACCGAGGTCAGTCTTGGTGGTCGATCGGACCTTCCCCGCGCTAGATGTTAATCTGGTTGCCCAAAGCTGTCCCGATTTGAAGGGACCCTGAACATGCACCAGGAGTCACAAAGCGGTGTGATCTATGGAGATATACTCATTTTCCCCTTGTCACAGCCACTCACTGGATGGGACGAGCCATACCACCCCCTATTCTTAGTGACTCCTGTTACCAGGAAAGGGGTGGTGTTTAGTCCTTAAGTGAGTGGATAATGGGCACCCCTAACCTCCAATAGGCACCCCTTAGTGACTCCTGGTACTTCATTTTCCCTTTTTTCCGCTTCAGCTCCAGAACTCCCGAGACATCCGGACCTGCCAGTTGTACCCGCCCGCCGCGGCGCTGGGGAGGCGCCTGTTGGAGATACTTGGCTCTGGGCTCCATGATCTGTCAGGAGATCCGCGAGGCCATCCAGTTGGAGGCGCCTTCCATCGGGTCGAAGAACGCCTCGCTTGTGTACACCGCGCGGCGCGGTGTTCGCGCGGGTTTTCACGTTCAGGGTTCTATGGGTTTTGCGGTCCCATGCAGAGGATTAGATGATCAGGTGTGTCTTGAAGAGGTCACCCTGCGATGTTCAGGGCCTGTGATGGTCTGAGTCTATGTTAGCTTCATGACAGCACACAATTCAGATCTTTTCGGTATTTCTGGACGAGTCCTTGCCAAATCAACCGCAAGGACAAGAACAGGAAAGAAGCGAGCACTCCAAAGCGGGGTGGGAATGGGTGAAACCACCCTCCAGCGGACTTTCTATCTAGTCTATCTAGTGCTTGGTGAACAATCACGCAACATGTCAGTGAAGGAACCACTTTGTGAAATGCAAAATCTTTCTCCTAAATCCTGATCAGATTTTCGGTCGGTGAATTATCCAAAACACCAAACCTGCAAAACGCATCAAAACTGGACCCAGAATTCGAATTGGTTGCAACTTGAGTGGGATCGGAATCCCATTCGGTGCCGTCTCCAAGCGTGACGGATCGTGGCACGTCCAGGTCGGCGACAGGACCAAAGCACCGGCGTTTCGTGCCTCAGGTGGGTTTGAGCTCCAGTGCAGGAGTGAGCGTCTCCAAGTTGCTGGCAAAGATGGTGGCCTGGAGACATTCATTGACTTATGTTGACTTGGTGGGTTTTGCTTTTCAGATTTGATTTGGACATATATAGGATGACATAAGTCAATATAAGTCAAACATATCACAAGTCAATAATGGATTAAATTAAATAGATGGACACCTCCTTTGGACATTGCAAAGAGGAGAGCGATTGAATCAACCCAGGGAAGGCTATTGGATACTCTTTGATTGTTTTGCAATTCATTTTTAAAGGCATTTCAGCTGAGACCTAGTGAGGTCTCCTCATGGAAGAAGCCCAGTCAGCAGACCGTTTTCGTGCCCACGGCCGATTGCCTTGACAGCCTCTCGCCTACATTCAGCCTCTCGCGTGGCTGGATGTTGTGTGGTTCGTGTGTCGAGTCCAAGAGCAGCCATGCCGTTTGGGATGATGAGAGCGAACGTGCCATCAGATTGACCTTGACCCCCCCTTAGTACTTGCTGCCCGTAGTTAGGCAGGGTTAAACCATGTTGAGCTTGCGTGCACCAGTCGCCAGGCCTGCTCCCGGAGAGCTTGCCGGTGCAGAAGATTCCGGGGATCGGTTTCGCCTCCACCCAACGCTGTCAGGTGCGCGCCGTTGGACCCAGTCGCGGTTGGAGGTTGCAGATGTTTCTTTTTGCTGACCGATCCTATAGTGTTACAGTCTCGATCCTTCACTTATTGGCTCACAGAGGGTTTTCCCTCTCCAGACCCGAGATGTGTGCAACTGGGGAGTGGTTTGATGAGAACAGAAGATGCCGCAGGATTGTCAACTGTATTGAAGGCCACACCGATCATTTCTCATTGGAATTGTTTCAAGTCATACATGGAGGAGGCCATGATAGATTTTGAGGCTGTGAAAAACAGACGGTGACGTTCGATGGAACACCAACAACAAGGTGGAGCAGACACCACACCATGTCGAACTATCTGTAACTATCTGATGTCGTTGACACCTGCAGGTCCTACATGCAGCAATCTCTCGAATAATATATAAGTTAGTTGATGCTGAATAGTCGCATACTGGAGTCAGTCAGTGGAGCCTCAAACAATCTCATACTGGAACCCCGTACCCGTGTGATGTGCTGCCTTCATTCAGCACCAGCTTGGGCTTGTTGTCTCTGAGGTCTTGGGGATCCACAGTATTGGCCAGCTACGTGCGGTGTCTCATGAGCGTCTGCAGGAGGCCTTTGATGCCAGCACGGCGGCCCTGGCGGCAGAGGAGGAGGGGGGGTTGGAATTTCTTGGAGGTTGCAGAGTTGCAGTTGGAATCTCTGGGAGGCAGGTTGGAACGAAGACCTTTTGGATGGCCGAGCTGAGTAGGGCATTCATCTCTACTCCAATAGACTTTCCCGCACGTAGCCGAGTTGTTTGTGAAGTCATGCTCACCAGTCATTGCCATGAACCTCAACTGCATGCTGTATGATGTTGTAGCGTTTGAACCTGGGTTTTGCATCCTAGGGTGACCTCTGGGGATTCTCTCCGGGGTGGCTCTCCACCTCCCGCAGCTGGAACAACACCGCTGAAGTCCCTTCCTTCCCCACCGGTTCCCAACAGCTCCGCCGGTTCTCCTCGGCGTCCGGGGCCGGTTGACTGCTCGCGAGTTGGCCGTTTCCGTCGAGGTGAAGACGATGAAGGCGCTCTGCCTGGGCCTGGACGAGGCGCCGGTGAAGGCCTCCGGTGCACCGAAGACCTGCTCGGCCGAGGACTCCTTCTGGCAGAAGCCGCAACTCCGGAGCCAAAACCGGACGGGTTGGGGATGGTTGGGGCCCTCGAACACCGAAGGGGGCCCTGCTTGGGGATGGTTTAGGGCCCTTTTGATCGGATTTGGATGGAGTTGGTAGCTTGAAGTCCTACAAGTTCTGGGGTCACTGTGTAGATCAAGCAGTTTCCCATGCAATGAATTATTTACTTAAAGTTTCTTGAGCTTCTTCCTCACACTTGGCCCAGCCCAAGGCTCTCAAGCAACGAGGAGGCCAAGGCCTCCTTGGAGCTTTTGGCCCAGAAGCTCCTCACGAAGATCCGCATGCTGGAACGGAGCTTCGGACCTCGCCCGGTGCCGTCCCTCTCCCTCACCGTGCGCCACGTCGACCGCGCCGCGAGCGGGAGCGCCGGTCCCGCCGCGCCGGTCCCGCCGCGGCGCGAGCGGCGCCAGATGCCGCTGGGCACCTTCAGCCTGGCGCGCGAGGACGGGGTGGTGGCCCAGCAGCTGGCGGAGCGTTCCTTCGGGCTCTTCCAGAAGTTGGTTCCTCCCAATGCACCCTTTGCACTCAACATCTTGAACCTCCAGGTGGCCTTTGCCGAGCGCGCCCGCGGGCAACGGAGCCTCAGCTTTGCCGCCCCGAAGTGCGCGGACGAGGCCGTCGCCGTGGACGACGGCGACGCCGCGCGCGGCGCGGCGGACGTGGCGGCGCTGGTGGCGATGGGCTTCGGCGTGGCGGCGGCCGCGGAGGCCATGGCCGAGACCGGGTCCGTGGACGCGGCGGTGGAGCGGCTGCTGAAGCGGCCGCGGCTGAAGGCTCCAAGCCAAATGGCAGCGGAGGTGGTGGAGCTAGATTAGTGATAGGGTGGGTATGGTGGGTGTAGTGGGTGTGGATCCAAAGGAGTCTTGAAGTGGTGCCAGGAATAAAGACATTCCAACTTGGAAACTCAGCACCCCACTCACGACAAGGTTTGAAATCCACACCCATAGGACCATACGGTCCATACCTCTGTAGGGGACCTGCTCAAAAGCGGTGGGTCATCGATTTCTCACTCTCACGGTGTCCACTGGAGGATGGCGTGTATCGGACGAAGCGACGGGATCCCGTTGCCGACCGGTCGCTTGGGTCGTGGGGGAAAGAGGGCGCGACTGAGGGCGACGGCGACTCGGCGACTGACGGAGCATGTAAATAGAGCTGGAAAGTTTGGGCAAATCACCTGTTGTTTGTTATTTCTTGTTCTCCTTTAATATTTCTTTGCTTTGTTTGTTGTGGGCAGAGAAACGATCTACTGACCGGAGACTCTGACCATCGTGTTTGGTGCTCAAGTGGGCTCAAAAAACTGAGTGCAACGAGACTTGCAGCGAGCCAAGAACACCTACAGGCACATGATGATCCACTACATGAATCAATTTACAACATATCCCAATAGAGTTACAGTTTAATGGTTCAGCGCCCTCATAGGACCCGTCACCTGAGGCACCTTTTGGTGGTGGAAAGCGCCTGTCCCGAGACACCATGCGTCGCTCCCACCGGTTCGCCCCCCGGTCAGGAGGAAGCCTTGCTCGAGCGCATGGTCACACGCCTGGTGATTGATGTCCGGGACTCGGGCGCCTTGGCAGGTGAGGATGGGTGAGGATGAGGATGGGTGAGGATGGGTCTGATGGGAAGCCAAAAGACGTGGGGGAGAGAAGGAGATTGGCTATAGGACTATGGGATGGTGTTGTTGGGGAGAGTTCCGCACGCTTCTGGGCATTGGTAGCGCTTCTGGGCATTGGGAGCCAATCTCTGTGAATTCGATTGCTATCGACCTGACGGCTATAGCTTTTTGGTCGCAGTCAATTTGTCGTTTGGCTCCATGGGTGATGGGTGCAGGTGGCACATGACTGAGGACACCAGCTTTCGGACGTGTGGGGGCTGGCTTCCGGCTGTTGAGTGCGCAACCCTTCATGGGCTAGCTCAGGAGTCTCAGTACACAGCCCCCTTGTCAGGGGGGGCACACACCAGTACTTGCAATGAAGCAGCTTCCGTTTCTCAGGACGGGGGCTGTTGACAGGCAGGTGACCAGGCTGTGCTGGTTCCAGAACTTCTGGGTTTACGGGACAGTTTGCTGGAAGCTCTGCAGTCGCGGGGCCCCTTGGTGGGGGACATCCCGACAATCCTGAAGCAAAGATATGCAAAGATGACACATAGGACATACGGAAAGATCACCACTCCCGAGTTTGTTCAACAGTATGGTTCTGGACTCACCCAAAGAATATGGAAACAGATATGGAAACAAGAGTGATTCCCTCTTTGTACGCACTCATTTTTTACATCACTTTCGTCGCACCTGCCCTTGGGGCCACATGGAGAAACTCGCTCCGGTTCGCGCCAAGCTCCGCACCCGACCGCCTCGCTTTCGCCTCGGGACGTGAGGCAAGCCGTTTCGACGCTTCAAGAAGTGGTTGGAGGAGCAGCCGCCCTTCGACATCGTCATCGATGGCGCCAACGCGCCCCGCCTCGGGCGGTGTTTGGGCGGGCTCACACGGGCGGAACGAACGCCCGGCGGGTGCTGGACGGCTCGACGACGGTGGTTCAAGGTCTGTTTGGGCTCACCGCTGGCCCCCCCAAAATGGGGGTTTGGGGAGGGGACCGCAACGCGCTTGGACGGAAGAGCGGGGAAGATTTAGTGGCCGGAGAAAAGGAAATTCTCGTGGATCCGCCCCAGTATGCTTCTCAAATCCGGGTTTCCATCCCGCATCCATTTTGCACGTTGACGAGGAGGGAACGACACGCAACACTCCTCTCTGTCACCGGACACGCGGGCTGCCAGGTGGGCTTCAACAATCAAAACCGCGAGGGTGGCCTGCGACACGGCGGCAGGGGAGTTTCAGGGGGTCGACTGGGGGAGCTGCGAGGAGTCCCTGGGAGTCCCTGGTCGGTTTAGAAGGGGGGCCGAGCCGCTTCGTTCAGCCACATGCCGAAGGAAGCAGCTACGTTCCTTCCTTCTGACGGCGTGACGACTCCGTGACGGGCGTGAGGGGGCTGTCCGAGGTTTCAGTACAGCCAGATCGATGCGGTGATTGACAAGCTCCGCGAGACGGGGAGCCGCGTGCTGCTGGTGCTGCACCCCAAGTGGCTGCGGGAAGACGCCGACCGCACGGTGACCAAGAGGAAGAAGCGGAAGCTGGCGCCTTGGCAGAAGGAGTGAAGCTGCCGGACTGAGTGCACTTGCAGCCCTTGCAGCCCTGTGCAGAAGGCGCAAGAGTGTAGTCAGTGCAAGCAGACGGTTACATGGATGATGGACAATGATGGATCCTTTTCATAATCCTCATTCCTCATCGACCCTCATCGATCCTCATCCCTTTCTCATCCTCATCTTCATCCTTCTCAGGTTTCATGAAACTGCAGATGAACAGCGTATTGCTTGTAGAATCGAACTGAACACACCTGGTGACCGGGGCATCTAAGCAATGGCAATCTAAACACCCAATCAGCTGAGCTGAGGCAGTGTATAGTGGGGTGAATCAGTTGCTGCAGGAGAATCAGTTTGTTTTGGGCCTCCAAGTGGGTTTCCGGCGCAGTGCAGGGGACTCTGATGGGTGGGCCTTCAAGCTGTCTGGGACCATCGCTGAGGACCAGATCAACTTGGAGGGCAACATGGGTTCCTCCGATGATTCGGCAGAAGACCAGGCACTGAAGCGGACACATTCGGGGGTTGGTTCGGTTCGGGGGTTCAGCAGGGTGATGTTCTTTAGTGATGTGGACTGACAGCAGCTTCAAGACCAGTCATGTGACAATGAGAATGCTTGATTCTTGTGGTCCCAGTTTTAGGAGGCTCGGCTCATTTCTCTCGGTAGCCACGTTGTAGCCGCTTAGGCTTAGCCGCTTTCTGGTAAAGACCTTTTGACCTGTTTTGTCGGGCGGTGTCTCTCCACCCGCGCGGAAGAAGCACAGAAGCACGCACGCAGTTCGCACGAATCTCACCCTGGTGTGCCTGGCGAAACGTGTTGGAGCGTCTTAAGCCCTTTTGGCTACCAGCTGGCGGGGAGGGGCGGTAGCCGGTCCAACTGTTGGTGTTGAGATTGAGCACGGGATACCATGATTCCATTTGACCAGAGTGTTCACCGCCATACCAAATGGCTCAAGGTTTACAGCTCGCTCCGCTTCGGCGGGAAAAGGCCGCTGATGTCGTCGTTTTGCTAGGTCGGTTCGACAGTTGGTAACCGGAGCTATGGTGGACGATGTAGGGACCTCCTCGCAACGACGAACTCTCGCTCCCGAAGTCGGAAGCGCAGCTGGATGGACACCATGGAGATCATGGAGACAATGGAGGCAACCGGACGCTGCTTGGTGGCTGGGCAGCGCTGATGCAGGTGCTCAGGTGGTCGATGGCGGATCGAGTGGGGTCTTCGCCACGACACCGGAGCAGCCGGCTCCTGAGGTTGCCAATGACGGGACTACGACGACGACGTCTCCGATGGCACCACCGATGGCCATGCCCGCGGGTGACCCCGCGGGAGCTACAACGTCGACGCCACCGACTACCAGTATGGCTCAGGACCCTCTGGTGGCCGGCGACCCTTGGGCTGCTGGTTGGAGGAGTGCTTCGGGTACCACTCCATGGGGAAATGCTCCAACTACAGCTCAACATGGCTCCGGCCAATGGGGGTGGCAAGACTGGCAATGGCGCAGTCAATGGGATGCGCATGGATGGCAGGGCTATGACTGGCAGTCCGGACCGTCGTCTTCACAGGCCATCTACAAGGGTGACTTTAACGACCCGCCCGGTTGGCCTGGCTGGTCACATCGTCGACTATGGGTACAAGCTATCCAGCGCTGGAATAAGGCCACGGACCTCCCAATGCACAAGCGTGCGGACAGAGTCCTTCGCAGCCTCGGCTGGGAGCTCCAGCAGGAGTTTGAACATGTGCCGGAAAGTGTCCTCAGCTCTTCCGCTTACCTGGAGGTGATCATCGAGATCATGAACAACAAGGCAGGAGTCCGTGAGGACGATGAGCGTCGCCGTGCATTCAAGGCTGCCATCACGGAGCATCAACGGCGAAGAGATGAGACCTTGGCCCAATTTGCTGTCCGCCGTCAGCGTGACTTCACCCAGGCCTCGCAGCATGGCGTGGTCATCCCGGACGTCTTCAAGGCCACTCTCCTTCGCGAAGGCGCAGGGTTGAATGAACAGAATCAGCAGAACTTGTCCGCTCTCCTTCAAGGTCAAGAAGATGACCCTCAAGCAGTGGCTCGCGCTCTTGGTAGGCTGGATGTCAGGTCTGATCGAATCACTGGCTTCGCGGAGGAGGTTGGGAAGGACGAGGTTCATGAGTCCTTCCTCGGTGACTTCCCTGACGAGGAGGAGTCCCTGGACGATGAGGAGATTGTGCAAGAGCTTGAATCCTTGGACCTGACCGAGGACCAGGTCACGGAAATCTTTGCCGTGATCGACCAGAAACGCCGCCGGCCCCGTTCGTGGAAGGAGAACAAGGAGTTCAAGGCCGAGCTCAAGAAGGACCGCGGCGCCTTTGTCAAGGGTGGCCCACCATGGAGCGGCCCCTCACGAGACCGCAAGGGAGAAGGACCTCGCCCTGGTCGATCGGGCATGAATCGGGAGCAGCTGAAGAAGATATCCCGATGTCGCATTTGCATGAAGAAAGGACACTGGGCCGAAGACTGCGAGGTCAACAAGGCCAAGAAGCCGGTGACGGCTTTCGCATACTCTTCCGCCTCGCCGCCCGGAATGACCTCAGCCTTCTCCTTTATCACTCTCCGATCCCTCCGTGAGGCCGTGCAGACTGTGCAGAGTCCTGATGACCATGGTTCCTGGTCGTTTTTGACCCTACCATCAGGCGCAGGCATTTTAGACACCGGAGCCACTCAGGACCTGATCGGTGAAGTGGCCCTTCGATCTATCTCATCACACTTGAAGTTCCTAGGCCTGAAGCCTGTCTACGTGGATGCAACCACTTCCATTCCCACCGGGATTGGAGGCGCCGCCAAAGTGAAGGGAGTAGTGCTTTTGCCTATTTCACCCGGGGGTTTTCCCGGGGTTTTGGAGATGACCATCCTGGAGGGAGGCATTCCTCCGCTCCTTAGTGTTGGTTTTCTAGAGTTCCTGGAGTCCTCCATCGACCTGACCCGCAACGTGGTCACGATGTCCAAGCTCGGAATCGAGCTTCCTTTGAACCGTCTGAGCTCAGGTCATCGCACCATGGAGCTGTTTGATTGGAAGACCAACATGGATTTTCCGGTGCCAGACGAATTGTCGACCAAGTACCAGCTTGAACCAGGAGCCTTCAACCTTCGTTCTCTCTCCGCGTATACAAAGTCTGACCCTTCTTCGCCGTCGCTGTTGAGAAGATCTGGGGTCAGTATAGTCACTAGTGTTCATGAGCCCACTTTCGAGCATGAGAACGAGCACACGGTCGCTGAGTTGTCGGCAGTCGTCGAGTTCGAGGATTCACTCAACCCCCCAGATGTACATGTTCACTCCCCATGTCCACAGGGATGTTCATCGAGAAACTGTTTTCGTCAAGAGTCAGCCACGATATGCACTACCAGAGATGATTTGTCAGGGCATCAAGGACCACTTGTCTGTGAACCGCCGCAGCCGTCGGGCTCGTCAACGCCTATGGGCACTCGACTTTCCCGTGACCCTCAATTCGCTCAGCCTTCCTGCCGTGATGATGAGCGACTCTCGCCGGAGTCGAGGAAGTGCTGCCCCGTCCGAGCGATGGGAACACTTGATGGACTCAGTGATGAATCGCTGGGAGACCAATCGCACCGCCTACAAGCGCCTGATCCGAGCCGAGCTGAGCACAAAGAGCACGGCATCCAACCGGAAGAAGTACATCGAGGCCGAGTCCCAGGCACCGGGCAGGTGCCTTCACCCCACGGATCAGGTGGCCTCTCGGGCCAATCAGTATGCCTCCTGGACAGTGTGCCTTCAGTGTCAAGCTCGGCTGACCTATGCATCGAAGAGTCGACGATCCCTTGGAGGGACCCATCCCAAGGCCAAGTCCAAGGCAGCGGCGATTCCCTTCGAGGGAGGCTACACCAGCTCAGGAACGACGGCCACGGCATCTTCACAGCCTCTGATGAGCAGCGCCTCTGCCGAGACCTCCCAGATAATCGAGCAGGCCGTCTTGTCGATGAACGTGCAGAATACTCAGCTGGCACAGACCCTCGGGCAGATCAACATGTCCCTGCAAGAGCTGGCTCGTGGTCAAGGACAGATGCTGCTACTGGCGGGAGGACAACAAGCGGCGCCTCAGCAGGGGGTGGTTCCGATCTATCCCATGAACATCCCTCCGATGTCTCAAACCCAGGGAGCCATGACCGATGCCGACACCTGGTCGCTGACGGAGACGGAATGGCCGCAGATGCAGAGCCCTCCCGAGATGCCGGACAATCTCACCGAGTCGCCGGACACGAACCCCAACATCGAGTCTCCCACTCGCGAGTGAAGGGCTCATGGCCCGCTTGGATGCTGGCCTCCGGACTGACTTGGGCCGGCTTGGTGCTTGAAGGAGATAGGGCCTCTCCCGAGCTGCATCAGATGCTTCAAAGCTTCAACCTGGACGACGAGGCCTTCGTTTTCCAGTATGACCTTCTTGGCTGTTCTGGCCCTGAGCAGGCCCATGGAGAACCCGCTCTTTGCTGGTCTGGCCCTGAGCAGGCCCTCGGTGCAGGCAGCCTTCTACCTTCCGGCCCTGTGCAGGCCCTCGGTGAGGAAGCACTTCTACATGCAGGCCCTGAGCAGGCCTCTCTCTATGACTCCAAGTATGAGCCTTCCGGTGCGGAGGTGACCGATGAATCCGAGAATTACTCTTCCGGCGAGGAGAGATCGACTATGAGTCCCTCAGGCTTGAGGGACGAGGACGACGGGTGGCCAATCTGGGTTCCTCCCTTCATGACTCGAGCATCTACTCTTCTCGGGTGCTCGGAAGGCCAGCCAGTGAGGAATGACCATGTGCCCTGCTGGCGCAGGGTCCTGGAGGCCGACTCAGGTCATGTGATCTCCAATGGGCCCGTGATCGACTCCTCCCAGACCTTCGTGAACAATCACTCTTACCCCGTCCGCTGTGATGAATGGGGCTGCCCTGCTGAATTCTTGCGACTTCTGATGATGACCGACCCTGACCGACCGATCATTGGCTTCAACAAGGATGGAAAGACTTCCAGCCAGGGTCCCTTCTGGGCTGCCGCCCCTGGGCCCCAGTTCACTGCCAGCAAGTTCCCAGACGGGGCGGAGGAGATAGCCAACGATGGGCATGCCACGGACTTGCAGCGATGCTTCAACAATCTGTCCTTCATGGCCAAGCAAGCTAATCGAAGCAGGATTAAGAGTTCTCGAGACTTCGTGGAGCTCTTCTCTCCTCCTCGAGTGACACCCTATGCTCAGAAGATGGGCTTGGCCGTCGAGACGGAGACGATCTTTGACCTTCAGCACGGGTGGGACGTTCGAGAATCGAAGCATCGGAAATCCTTCCGGACTCATCGCGAGCGTCACCGTCCCAGGATGCTCATGACCTCTCCTGCATGTCGGGCCTACACTCACCTACGACACATCTTTCTGCAGAAGATGAACCCTGAGGTTCGACGGAAAGTTCTGCTGGAGGGACAACTGATGTGGGATTTCTCATTGGAGGCATGCCAAGACCAGATCAAGGACGACAACTATTTTGGCCTGGAGCACCCTCGACTAGCTGCCTCATGGCGACTCCCACAGACTCAGAGACTGCTGAGGAGGCCTGATGTCGCCTTGATCGTCTTCGACCAGTGTGCCTACGGCCTCAGCGTGGTCGACTCAGGGAAGTTGTCACAGAAGAGCACTTGCATCGCAACCAACAACCCGTGGCTAGCCCTGGAGCTGATCAAAGCACAATGCTCTCAAGATCATGACCATGAGGCTCTGGTCTCCGGCCTTCCTCGCATGGCTCAGGAATACCCAGCTGCCATGTGTATGGCCATTGCTCGCAGTGCTCAAGCAGTCTCCATGGGTTTGGAGGCTCCCTCCTTCTTCCACGAGGTCGAGTATGAGGCCACCAAGTGCTCCTATGCCTTCTTTGGCGAGGACGAAGAGGACGAAGACGACGACCTTCCAGTGGAGTCAACGACAGAGCCGGCTCCCCTGTCTGAGTCACAACGAAGACTGGTTATGAAGGTCCACGTGAACACCGGTCATCCTGACCGTCAACGGATGCTACGAGCTTTCCGAGCAGCAGGAGCTCTGCCTCAAGTGTTGACCTTCATTCGGAAGGAGTTTCAATGTGAGGACTGCAACCTGAAGCAGGGAACGGACAATCGACGCCGAGCTCAGCTACCAAGGACTTTCTCCTTTAATCGAGTGGTCTGTGTGGACTTTCTGTACGTCCGGTTCAAGGAGGCGCAGATCCCCATTATGAATGCCGTGTGTGCCGGGACCAGCTACCAGATTGCTGCCCGATGTCCAATCACTCGTTCCGGAACCCCTTCATCCTCAGCTGCATGGAAATTGTTCCTTGAAACCTGGGTGCGCTACTTTGGCGCTCCGCACATGCTGATGACGGATGCTGGGAATGAATTCAAAGGCGCCTTCGAGCGGGGCTTGGAGTTGCAGGGGATTCTCCAGCACGTGATTCACCCCGAATGTCCTTGGGAAAACGGAAAAGCAGAGAGGCACGGGGGCTGGTTGAAAAACCGCCTGGACAGCGAGATCCAATCTGGCCGCTGGTGTCTTCACCAACCTCGGAGAGTTAGACGAATTTCTGTCGGCCCTCTGCTCCACCAAGAATCGATGGTTGAACAAGGGCGGCTACACGCCGGCCCAATTGGTCTTTGGAGAACTTCCCCGGATCCCCGGAGAGCTGCTGGCCGAAGACGAGTTGGGGCTCCACGGAATGCACGACGCTCACGAGGACCCGGCCGAGGTTGATGAGGCTGCAGGAGAATATCGTCGACGCCACCATGTCCGAGAAAGAGCCCGTCAGTTAGCTATGGGCCAAGCCAGTCGTGAAGCCATCCGAAGATCTCGACACTCTGCCCCTCAACAACAACGACATTGGGCGCCCGGCCAATGGGTGTATGTCTTTCGTCGAGCCCGCGGCAATCAGGACCTTCATCTTCGAGATCGATGGGTTGGACCAGGAGTAGTCGTGATGGCCAACAACGACACGGTGTATGTCGGCATGAGGACTCGACTGTGGAGATGCTCTCCCTCACAGCTCAGAGCGGCCCTACCAAGTGAAGTGCTCGGACGAGAACTAGCATCCAGCCCTGGACTCGCTGAACTTCTACGTCAAGTGGTGTCGGGCACTCATGCAGGGGCTGTGGACGTGCAGCGTGAAGGACCTCCTGGACCAGATCAGATGCTCGGCCCCGTGGAACGTGCAGAAGAAGGAGTTGCTTCGGTCCCCTCATCGAATGATGGCCTACGTGGTCGTGAGGATCCATCTCCACGTCCTCCAGAGGAAGTTGAGCCGATCCCTCCTGGGCTGTTACCAGCCAGCCAGTTGACTCCGCCTTCCGAGGTCACGAATGACGCTGTCGCCGGTCCTCCTCTTCCTGCCGTCAACGTGGAGTCCCGCAGGAACTCAATCAATGAACCAGCTTCCGAACCAGGAGGTGCCGAAGGCTCCGAGCACTCACAAGAAGAGAACACGGCTGCCGAATCAGAGCCTCCCAGGAAGATGCTCAGGACTGTCTCGCCTGAACATCCTATGGAGTCTCCCGAAACTTCCACCTCTTCATCATCGACCTCGCCTTTGGCACCACCGCCTGTGGAGGAACCCGTGGGAACTCGGGCACCCGGGACTCCGGTAGCCGAGATGCTCAGCCGAATCCCTCGGATTGCACCACCTCCTGGTCTGAGCCCAGATCAATCGACCTCTTCGCTGACGCCAGCTGAGGAACTACCTGCCGGTCTTCGAGTGCCACGACAGGTCAGGGAATTCAATCGACTGGGGCTCATCCCGGAAGGAGAGAGCGAAGACCCTGAACTCTGGAGCGGCTCTGCCTTCAACTATGCCCTCGGTGACCAAGTTCTATGTCTGGAAGAAGATGGCAGTTGGGTTCAAGCTCCCAAGCGTGGAGGCGAGGTGAGCCTCAAGGATCTTACTCAGAAGGAACGCGAGCAGTTCGAGGCCTCTGATGAGCTGGAATGGAATGCCGTCCTGAAGACCAAGGCCGTGCGGGTCCTGACGGGCAAGCCGGCAGATGACGCTCGAGCTCAATGGCCCGAACGCATCATTTCATCACGAATGGTGCGCCGGAAGAAACCTCAACCAGAACTTCACAGCTGGAAGGCCAAGAGTCGATGGTGCTTGCATGGACACCACGATCCCGATACCGGGACCCTGTGCACCTACAGCCCTACTCCCTCGACTGAAGGTCTCATGATGTTCCTGCAGGTGGGTCTGAACTACGGGATGCAGTTCGCCTTTGCCGATGTGAAGAACGCCTTCTGCCAGAGTCACAAGCTGAACAGGCCTCACGGGCCCCTTTTCGCTGAGCCGTGTGAGGGACTCAAATTGGCTGATGGAGCTCTCATCGAGATCCTGGTTCCCACCTACGGGCTGGACGATGCTCCAAGAGAGTGGCGCCTCACTGTCACGAACTTCCTCACGAGCCTTTCGTTCGAGAGAAACCTCGTGGAGCCTTGCTGGTACACCCTCTTCTCGGAAAAGAAGGAATGCCTGGCCCAGGTGCTGATTGAGGTCGATGACTTCATAGTGTGCGCCCTTCCTGAAGTCTACCACTGGTTGCACTCATCGATGACCAAGCGCTTCCAGTTTGGCAAATGGGAAGTCAATGAGGCAGAGTATGCCGGTCGTCACATCAAAGTCACCTCGGACTGCATCTATGTCGACCAAGGGAAGTATATCCAGGAGCAGGTCCACCCAGTGCCTCTTCTCAAGGGACGACGTTCGTCTCCCGAGAGCCACCTGAACGAGGAGGAGTTCAACGCTCTCAGATCATTGGTGTTCAAGATCAACTGGCTCGCTCGGGAAAGCAGGCCTGAAGCTTCCGGGCTGGCCTCCTTGATGGCAAGCCGGCTTCCCTCAGCGAAGATTCAGGACGTCCAGATCACCAACAAGTTTGTCAACTTCCTCCGAAGCACCCATGACCGAACTCTCAAGATGTGGAAGCTCGATCCCAAGGAGATGTGCTTCGTCGTCTGCAGTGACGCCGGAGGAATCAACATGAAGGGCATCGAGGATGTGGACAGCGAGGGCCTCCCCATGGATGCCACTCAGGGCGCTTGGATGGTCATTGCTGCTGAACGACTTCCTCAAGGAAATCGCGCTGTTCGTGCTTCCCCGATTACCTGGAGGTCTTCGAGGTTGAAGAGGAAAGTCTTTTCCACGTTCGGCGGAGAAACCCAAGCTATGCTTCAGGGGATCAACGAAGTGGATTGGCTGCAGGTCATGCACCGAGATGCCACCATGCACGACGTCAGCCTCAGCTGTTGGCGTAACTCTCTCAGCCCACACATGCTGGTCCTTCGAGGCCAGTGCGCCCTAGCTGACCGACAAGGTCAATGCTCCGTGACCGATGCCAAGTCATTGTTTGACTGCCTGCTGCGCGAGAACCCAAGCGGCAAGCAGGATCGCAAGTCGGCCTTGGAGTTGAGCATCATCCTGCGGGATTTGCAGGAGACCAAATCCATGGTGCGATGGGTGCCGCATCAAAAGATGCTTGTGGACTGCCTCACGAAGCTGGACCCCAGCCGGGCGAACGATGCGCTCCACCAGTTCCTGAAGAGCGGCTGGCTGAGCCTGGTGGACGTCGACCAAGAGTTGGTGCAGCGGCGTGAGGACCCCGCTTTTCGGCGAAGGAGTCATTCGGCTTCTCAGCGCCGCCTGCTGTACGAAGAGCAGCATCGAGCGCTTTTCTCCTTTTGTCTGGACGCTCTGGTCAACAAGTTTGGGGGGACTGTTGAGATTGAGCACGGGATACCATGATTCCATTTGACCAGAGTGTTCACCGCCATACCAAATGGCTCAAGGTTTACAGCTCGCTCCGCTTCGGCGGGAAAAGGCCGCTGATGTCGTCGTTTTGCTAGGTCGGTTCGACAGTTGGGCTTTCAGCGACCGTGGTGTTCAGCTAGCCCAAGGGCCCAAGGGTCAGCGACTCTTGATGAAGAAGTTCTCCAGGACGAGGCGTTTCGTTTGGAAAGTGATCCTCCCAGCGGTGCCGGGTGGACTGAGACGTCCGCCCGGTGCTGGACCCATTTTGGTCTTCTCACTGGCCCTTCCAACCACTTAGAAAACATAACTTTCCTGACTTTGGGTCCATGTAGCGGAAACCCAAACTCTTCCGACACCCTGAAGCCGTGATGTTTCTTTGCTTTTCGATCCTGGCATTCGCACGGGCGGCACCGCCCGTGCCTTCTGCGGAGCACAGACCGCTGAGAGCCGCCAGGAGGGCGAGCCTGAGATCCAGTATCCCTTCGATTCTTGGCGCGGTCAGAGAGGTAGAGAGGTTCGGACTCGGACATCCTTCGGATCATCGTTCTTTGTTGCCGACCTGGTTCTTTGGGTTGGGAGTTCAGGACCCAGGTCGCAACCGTGACGAGCCCAGGTGGACTGCTCCCTCCCGGAATCGCGCGTTGAGTCCGACCGTGGCTCCCCGCAATGGTCCGCCCCCAGGACCCCATCACGTGTGCGGAGCGCGCGGCTCCGGCGGGGACGCCCTTGGCCTACATACGGAAGTGGAAGGCACCGCCGGCGCCTTCACCGCCGCCCGAGTGGCCTTTGGGAGGGTGGGCCCGTTGGGTGTTAAGATCAAGAGTGGAGGAAGAGCAATCCGATGTTGACTGGTGACGGAAGAGAGAGTTTTCTGATGTTTTCTGGGAAATGTTGGTAAGAATTCGGACAGAGGATGCTCTTGGATGGGAGTGACGTTAAAAGCGGTCGCATATACATATACATATATAGATATATTTTATATACACAGTATAGAATATAGCTTATAACTATATATTTGTATATAATAATATACGTATAATATATACACAGATAGCAGAACCCCAATCTATTTTATTTGTGAAACATTCAGATGTTTGCTCTACCATTCCTGGCCTAACCCAGAGCTTTGCAGTCCATCTTTGGGACTTGCCAGGAGGCTGAGTGCCTTGTGCGGGTGCCTGCGAAGGATTGTGCCCCTGCTGTCAAGTCTGGCGAGGTGGAACGAACGATGCTCGGGGTGGGGTTCAAACGGTGGATTTAAGGATGTTTGACATGCTTGTTTCTCTACCAGAGCTTTGACTTATAGAAGCTTGCTTGAGCGGAGAAACCTCAGTTTCAGGGGTATTTAGATGAAGATGAAGGTGTCAACAATGTCAGATGGCAGCAGTGGACGTGACTTTTTCGCTACACGCAGGAAGTGTTTGACGGGAAGCTGTGCGTTCGGGATGCCAAACAGGTCGCGAAGCACGGGTTTGACGGGCCGCCGTTCGCGGCAATGATGGCACTGAGGCGATGATTGGTACTGGCTCTTTGCGGCGCTCTCCTCCGCTCGCCGTGGTGCAAGACACGTCCAAGTGGCCGCCAGGGCTGAGAATGGGTGAGACAATGGACAATGTGAGACATGACACGTCCGTTGCGTGCAAGAGAGCAGGGGCGGCTCTTTTTCAGGAACCTGTTTCCGTGGGCTTCATCTTCTAGTGCCAATGGTGGCGCTGCCGGTCTCTTCTCCAGTCTCTGAAAGGGGGGGCGCTTGTGCAGGCGTGTTTTTGCTCCATTTCGATGCTTCTCAGTGTTTGGGGTCCTTCAGCGCCACGGGACCCAACATGCTGTGGGACGCGGTGGTTCCTCTCTCTTTCTTTCTTTCTTTCTTGATTTATTTATTTATCTCTTTCTCTCTCTCTCTCTTTCTCTCTCTCTCTCTCTTTCTCTCTCTCTCTCTCTCTCTGTCTCTCTCTCTTTCTCTCTCTCTCTCTGTCTCTTTTGGCGCAGCCGTGAGGCAACACATGTGACTCGAGGGAAGGGTTCGGTGCTCGCAGATTCAGATCGGATCTTTAGATCTTTTGCCAGAACTTCCAATGACTCATCTTACCTCACCTGCCAGTCCAAATCCACCACGACCATCTAGGGGTAACATGATGTAAACTCGAGTCATTTGGCCCCTCCGGGCTTTAGAGTTTCTTGAGCTTGCTGCCGGCACGGATGAGGATTTTACGACAGGCTGTGCTTGGCGTCCAACAGGTTCACACACACCCACTAATAATATTATATATATATATACACTGTATACTCCAGTAGTCACAAAGGGGTGCTTAATGGAGGTTAGGGGTGCCCATTATCCACTCACTTAGGGACTAAAAGCAACCCCTTTGCGACTCCCGGCATGTTTTTTTGAAACTATATTCATTTATTTATGCGCTGCCAACGTGTTCGGGGAAAGTTCTTGCTTCACATCATAGGGATCATAGAACAGGATTCTTCATGTACAGCTGGATGAAACGGACATCAGAGGCACACCTGCTGCTCACGTGCAGTTCACATGTGGGTGCACCTCACAAAATCCCGGAGACACCCAACAAAGAGGTTATCGCTAGGTTACCATAGCTTGAGACATATCATATCTCGATGTGAAGGTTGAACGTTGGTTTTGGCGTCTTAGGTCAGCAATGACCACATGAGAGACCATCACTGGCGAATGGTGGGTGGCTTGGCTGAGATTTGGAGCACTCCACAAAAGACCCTCAAATACAGTAGTTTCAGAGGAGATGGCAACAACGGGTTGGGTGTTTTCAGTTCCCAGATTGGTGTTTTCCCTTCCCGTG